TTTATTAGAAATCGTTATTAAGATATAATCATAATACATCTCAATCTAAATATAAATAACTATTTTAAAAATCATAAAAAAAAGACGAAAATCGTTAGTTGCATCATGAAAACGAACATAAAGCCCCAGAGTAAATCACCGTAGACATGCAAATAACAAAACAAAACAAAAAATTGTATCAGACGTAAAACTATGATATAAAATTGAAAAAGAAGCACACACACATATATATATACTAAAAATTTAGGGTTTCAAATATACGATAATATCTAATAAAATAACGAAAATAAAGAATATTTTTTATTTATGTTAAAATAAGAATGGAAAAATTTAAATAAAATTTGAATATATCACAAAGTAGTCGAATCTTTTATTAAAATAATAATGGGACAAACGAAATTTTACAAAACTAATAAAAAACCAGGCACAAGCCCATTAGCACTAACCAAACGTATTTGTGATCCGAAATCATTCAATGGCATGCGATGTAATACCTTGATTCATTAAAGGTATTTCTGGAATATCAACTCTGAAATTCATTGTGAGGCCGCCACGTAGGAAAAGTGACTTCGCTTTTATAAGTATAGATAATATTAACATAACAGTGATAAGTGGAATTCTCTACCTTTCATTTTCAAAGAAAAAGAAACAAAAAAAAAGCCAACACTTTCGTATACTTCTTTGCAAAAGATTTTTATGCATTTGGTGTTACTCCAAATACTAGAACCAAAATTGCTTCAAGTAAATCATATTTCTTTTTATAATTTTTTTTATACGAATCAATCTCTTTGATTTGAATATTTTTATTCATATGCTGGAGTGATAAAATATATTTTATTTCTCTCCAAATTAGGTTATTTTTGCTACAAAATTTTACTCGTATTGACCTTTGGTAATTTATAATTCGAATAATGTGAAAGTGTAAAAACTTATAATTTTAAAAAGCTATAAACTTTCGACTTAAAATCAAATGGTAACGATAACGAATATAGAGTTTAATATTTTTTATATACTAATGTCAAATCTGTATATATTTTATTGTCAAGTGCCAAGC